AAACTGCCACCTTTTTAGTAATAACCTGCAGAAGTTAATCCTGCACCCTCAAATTAATTAGGCTTCAAGGAGAAAACAGGAATTCTACCAGTGCACTTTTCCAACTGCTACTGAATGATAATAAAAGCACTTTCAGCAGGCCAGTTTGGTATAGTGGTGAAGACACCAGAACAGGAGCCTGTGAGTTCTGGTCCTGCTTTGTCCATTAAGCCAGTTGGGTGATTTGGGGCTAGTCACACTTGCTCAGTCCTGATAAAAAGACAATGGCAAACCACAAAATCTTGTCAGGAAAATTTCAGGAATTTGTTCAGATAATTTACCAGAAGTCAATATTGACTTGAAGGGACCAACACCCCCCCCCCCAACAAAAAATAATGTTTGCTGACATTAATGGAACTACAAATTTTAAATTGTACCAGCAAATTCTATAGGAAAATGTTTGAGTAACTATTCATGAACTGAAACTCCAGAGACAGTGGATCATGCAGCAAAAGACCATGACTTTATGACCAAAGAATGTTTAAAGTAGAAGAAAGTTAATATTTTGGAATGGCCAAGTCAAAAACCTTAATTCTATTGAAATATTGTGGAAGGACCTGAAATAGAGTGTTGAGGTGAGGAAGCCTACTAACATTCCTGAACCGAAGCAGTTTAGTAAGGAGGAGTGTGCTAAAATTTCTCTAAGCCAAATGCGCAATCCAGTTATTGAAAATGTTATTGGTGCCCAAGAGGGACACATCACGTATTGAAACGAAACGTTCACATACTTTAACCACATGCCAATTTTGATTCATTTGTTAATTGGTTTCTCTTTTTCTAGTTTCAGCTCTTGCGGGGAGAAAAGATAACATAGCTGGTCAATAGAAATATTGAAAATTCAAAAGGGTTCACAAACTTTTAAACACTCTGTATGCCTTAATTATGAAGCATTTGAATAAAGTATAATGCATCATACATTATTATCAGTAAGAATAATTAGGGGAAGAGAGATTGTGCTGCTTACCTGGTTTAGTGTTAAAAAAAATCTTCAAATGACAGTGCTCACATTTTATACGTATTGAAGACTAAAAAAAATCTGCAATGTTAATAGATAATCAAATCTGATTTTTATTTTTTACAAAACAAACATTCTCAGATGCTTCTGGGAACTCATTAGAAATAAATGGAGCAAACACACTACAGGAATCCAAATACAAATCTATTTTTAAGGGAATCTTGAGCTTTTGCAGTAGAAGTGTTTGAACATCCATCCTATTAATTGTAGAAACTACTTAAGATATTCAGTGTCAGCGATCAAGGCCAAGTGTGGAGAATAACTATAGTAGTTCTACTTTCAAAATTCTTGAAAACCATTTAAGGATGTCAGTAGGAGGTAAATTAAAGCCATATGCATTAAGAAGCTAATAATTTGAAAAATGTACAGGAGCAATGAACCTTGGAGTTTGTCAAGCATTGAAATGACTATTGGAAACAGCACTGTGTAGTTCTAAATAACAAAATAAAAGTGAAATGAAGTTATTCTATCTAAAGTTGAATCATCATGACTTCAGTAATCCATGCTCAACCCCAGCACTATTGAGCAAATCTCAATAAAATTCAAACATTACAAGATTTTTTTTGAGTGGAGAGATATAATCTCTGTTTTCATCTAAAAAGTTATAATTTAGTAATGTTAGACACACAATTAAAAACAAATCTTGTTTTTAAGACATTAAAATAATCCAGAATATTTCTTTCATTTTGTATTTTCTTTTCTACTATTAGTTTTCTGCAAGAAACACTCCTTTATCCAAATGACTTGTTTTCAAGTAACTATGCAAAGGAATGTACTATTGTGTGTTATTCTTTCAGCCCATACACTTAACTTGGATTTTATTCATATGCTTTATGTTTTGATTGGTATATTTTTTCTAACCCAAAATCCACCATCCAAAATGGTGCTATGTAGTATTACAGCCACATTTGAGTAAGATTCTTCAAATCATCAGATAGGACATTGGTAGTTCCTGCTTGTTCAGTAATTCTGCCCGAGTCTCTGATTTAGATGAAATACTACAAGTCTCACTGGCTCAAGGTTGACTCAGCCTTCCATCCTTCCAATGTTGGTAAAACGAGGCCCTAGATTGTTGGGATATATAAGTAGTATATAAGTCTTACGTGCTATTGCTATAAACAGTCTTTGTGCCAAGTCAAATACCAGAAGTTAGAAAGGCACCAACACATTCAAAAGAAGGGGTTGGGTTAGGCAAATTTGTTGATGCTGTTAAAGGTATCTCTGCAAGATACAAGCTGTCTTAAGTAAAGCTACTTTTTGCAATTGACTGATAGTAATTTTGTCAATGCCAATGGTAATTCATTAGTGCTCCAAATGTTTTGGAGTTGTACTGCCAAGTCTTGTTGTTAACTGCTTTGCCTGTTAGGTTTTTTAAAAAATATATACTGGCCATGTAATACTGTAGAATGCCATACCTCTTTTCTATTTTTTATTAGGTCTTTCTTGCAGGCCAGTTTGAGATCTTCCTCTCTTGATGTATTCACTTTTAATATTCTTCTTGACTTCAGTGTGCTTGATGTTGTCAGCTTGAAGGTTGCCCAGGTATTTGTAGTGATCATCTTCATCCAGATTCTTGATGTTATTTCTACTGGTGGTACAGTGGTTAGAATGTAATATTGCAAGCTAACTCTGCTCACAGCCTGAAGTTTGATCCTGACCGGTTGACTCAGCCTTCCAGCCTTCTGAGGTCTGTAAAATGAGGACCCAGATTGTTGGGGAGTGGTATGCTGACATTATAAACTCCTTAGAAAGGACTGTAAAGCACTATGGGGCAATATATAAATCTTAAGTGCTATTGCTAAGTGCTATAGGGCATTTGATTCCTCCAATTTTCATTATTTTTCCTCTGTTAATGGTAAAAGTGGCACATTTGTCCAGTCCTAATTGCATTCCTGTGTGATAGGACCTTGCTTTTGTAATGGAAATGTATGGATGTGAAGTGACCAAGAGTTGAACTTAATTTACAGGAGACTTCATAATTTTGTGATTGAGCCAATACCTAAAATTTCTTTAATGTTGCTATATTACTACCAAGCTATTTTAACAGAATCTAGTGTAGCGAATTTGATGGTAGAATTTTATAATTGCAAGAACAATCAACAAAAACGGTCTCTGGAATAGTTGTCATTTCTATGCTGTTAGGTTTCAAGTTTGGTATGTGATTTTTTATTTATTTACACAAATGCTTTTAATTCAGTCTGATCTAATCTTTATTGCTATTTTTTTTATATTACACAAGCAAATCTTGGCCAAATGTTATCAGAAAAGAAAAACTATTACCATGGTTAATATTTGCTGTTTTTACTTTGGTCACTTCCTCTTTCTTCAGCTTATCCATCCTCATGTTCTCTCTATCTCTTTCTTCTTTTTTCTTTAGGGAGAAAAAAGTTGGAGTTCTTAAGGCTTTGCTGCTTCTGCCTTCTCTTTGTATTGATCAGTAATACTAAAAAAGAGATGAGTTAACATAAACCCGAGTAGACTCTGTAACCTTCCCCCCTTCCATCTTTCTGGAAATGTAGATGCAATAACATTTGCAGTTGAAAAGGTTCATTCTCAGTTTCTAATGTTTAAGGATGCAAATGAAGCATTTTGTCTCTTCTGTGCCTGGAGGTGTTATGCAAGAAAACAGAAAGAGGTTTCTAGGATTAGTTCCACAGATTCCTTTTATCATGTAAAAATCTATGACTGATTTGATTGCCAGGAACTGAGGAAATCCTATATGGAAAACATCTAAAGAAAATTCCTTCCATGTTTCACTTTCTTTCTATCTAAATCAGTAACCACCTTGATAGTTACAGGGAATATTTGTTGGAATGCATGCAATTTTCTATTTACTTTGATTATTTGTTCTCTCTTGGTTTCATGATTTTATACGCTCCTTGATTATTTCGGTGTTCTGTTTGGAAAAGTACACAATTATATTAAAACAAAAATAGATTTGGATGCTGATTATTGGTTTTGTCTAGCTGCAGTTCCTTTTCAAAGATTTTAACCCCCTATACTTTTTTAGTTTTTGGTTGATGTGACAGAAAGTGAATCTGGGAATCCATGTGTTGTTTACAGTTATTTTATGCATTCATTTATTCCTTTAAATGTTACAGCTAAGTAATAGTGCCTAGAGTTGTCTTACAGGGAAGATGCATAAACATTTAGCAAGCAAGCAAGCAAGCAAGCAAACAAACAAACAAACAAACAAACAAACAAACATTTAAGAGAGTCAGTGCTTAAGGCATCAGGCTAGAAACTGCGAGGCTTTGTGTTATAGTCCCACATTAGATGCAGAAATCAACTGGGTACTTTGGACCAGCCAAAATCTCAGCCCTAAGAGGAAAGTAATAGCAAACCACATGGCAGCTTTCAGGAATGAACACTGTTGAAGGTACAGAAATTAAAAAAATACTTATTTCAAATAATGTCATGAATCCAGCTTCACCCATGTGTGAGATTGGTCTGTCTGTCTGTCTGTATCTCTTTAGGACATCAGACTAAAATGGAATATGTTCTTGATTAGCTTGAAAGTTGGTATTTAGAAATCTCTTCTTCTGGGAAAAAACTAAAAGTCCATTTTGCATATTTTCAGCCCCTATAAAAGAAAAAAAAAAGTTGTCTTTACGTGAATCTTAAAGAATGCAGAATGAAATCCTGAGCTATATTACACAATATATCTTACTATGCTCTTGTGGCATCTTAGAGTTATGACCCTGTTGCCTTTTTCTCACTCGTGAGATGCTACAGATAAGTCAGGCAAAATATTTTATAACTTTCAGCTAGTTTTCCTTTTGATTTGTACAAACAGTAATTATGAGATCTTTGCTTTCTCTTCCTCATATGTACTCTTAATGTACTGTTTCAAGTTAAAGTTACGGTACTTGTAGTACGTATGTGAACTATGTTCAAAGAGGTCTATTGTAATACTATTTCTTCTCTTCCTTCTTTGTTTCTACAGGCATCAGAAGGTGTTGTTTTCATTGGACCAGATATGCATGCCATTCACGCAATGGGAGACAAGATAGAAAGCAAACTGTTAGCCAAGAATGCAAAGGTCAATACTATACCGGGTTATGATGGGGTGATAAAGGTAAGATTTTTTTTAAAAATTAGCTAGTTATATAACCTCGTTTTTAATTTAAAAAGCCCTTCCTGGATTAAAATTAGGGTTAAACATAAGGTACATAATTACCACGTTCAGTCTGGCAGTGAGATTTATGACAGAAATATTGCATATGATAAGTTGTTGAGATGAATAAAACTCTTTATTTTGTGTAAAAGAATAGTAAACTCAAAACTATCACTATGATCTATCTCACATAATACTATGTATGTGATCTCCCTAGTCTTATGATTGCATAACTATGTGGGATACATACAAGTATAACTAAATAGTTAAATAATAAATTAATACATCAATAAGAGAGAAGTTTTTCTTCACAAAAACAGTGTTTTAAAGAGCTAGTGATTTGTTTCCCCATAGAATGATATGACTGCCATAGGTAGATAGAAGAAAGGAAAATTTGGGAACAACCCTGCTGCATGTGTGAGTTAAACCACTTCCCTTCCCACAAAAATGATACCGTATAGTACTTTAATTCAATTTTAAGAAGTTGCTTCAGACTATCTTCTTTAATGCATCGTTAACATGCTACTTTTTCTTTTACGTGTCATGAAGTATCTTTTGGAAATCAAATTAGAATTGTGAGCCGCCTGGGCTTTGATTTAGGCCATATAAATGTTTTAAAAATCAAATCAAATAACACGAATCATTGCAAACCGCGGTAAAAATGGTTAAGAATCAATTTTCTCAGCTATGCAGTTTTGCCATGGCCCCTATTACATGATCACTTGAAATATGATATAATAGAGAAAGGCATGAAAATTGTGGGACCTGTGAATGAAAAAATTCTGCTGTGCTTTAAATGTTAAACATAGTACAGGTGGTCCTTGGTAACTGACTGTTTACTTAGCAACAGTTCAGAGTTACAGCACCGCTGAATGAGGAAACACGCAGACAGTCCATTTGCCACCTTCATTGCCAGCTTTTGACAACAAAGTCAATGAGGAAACTGGCAGAAAGTCACAGATGACAATCACGTGACATCACACCTAACTACTGTGCAGTGGTTAACCACCTAATCATTGCAACTAGAATTGCCATCATAAGTCAGTGTGGTCATGTAACATTAAGCTTTACAACCATATTACTTAGCGATGGAATTCCTACAGCTAATTACCTTTGTTAACTAAGGACTGCCTGTATCTTGCTGATTGTAATATTGTTCCAAGTTTCTTAAGGAAACCATTCATTTAGTGGCCATTTGGAAAAAAGTGCTGTTGGGCCATATTTCACACTCTTTTTAGTGCTATTGTAACCAAATAGTCACTAAATGAACCGTTGTAAGTGAAAGACTACCTATGTTCATATTGTGTAGTGCAGGGATGTTGAACTCTTATTTAACTGAGGGCCACATCAGGGTTGTTTGACCTCGGAGGGCCTGGGGTGGTGGTGGGGAATGGCCGTGGTAGGCATGGTTGTTTTTGACCAGCAGAGTGCTTTACGAGACCGTGGAGGCTGAAAACGGGTTGCGGGGAGACCACCTGCGGCCCATTTTGGCCAGCAGAGGCACTGCAGGCTCTGGTCCTTGGATATTTCCAGGCTCCATATTTAATAGCCTTGAGTTTGACACTCCTGGTGTAGTGCAATAGCATAGCATAGATTTTGGGTCAAAATGAGTTTGATGGTGGGGTTCTAGCTTGAGAAATGCAGGTAGGATATTTCCTGTTTTGGAGCCAGTCAGGGACTTTCACTTTAATTTGTCTTGTTTTGACCATACAAAGAAACCTTTGCAGAAATCATGGGTTGAGGGGGGCAAGTGACCAAGTAGGTATTGCATCATGATACAAATTCTGCATCTTACATGCCTAGTTCTGACCCATAGCTAGCATGGATCCTTATGCTGGAAATGTTTGTACCTTGCTGATATCTACTGTAGAAAAAAGGGTGGGTCAAACACAAGGTTGTCAACAAGGTACAGTTAAATGAAAGTCCAAACAACTACTGTGATGGCATCATTGAAACTCCATCTGTTTTTTTGTTTTTTTTTAAATTCTGGTAGGGTGCTCTACAGTCACACCAATACAGCTTTTCTTCTGACTGTTTGGATCATATCCTGCAGACACCCCCTTACCGATCTTATTAGCCTTAATCACTTAAAATAAGAATGTAGTGGCTTTTGGATAAGTATTTTATACAAAATATGATATGATACAGAGTGGGATGGAGCCCATTAAATGGCTGGTATGAGGGTGTGTTGCTCTCGGGGTGGGTGTGTGTTTTTTATTATGTTTATTTTTATTATGTTTATTTCTTTTATTTTGTGTTTTTATCTCCTGTAAGCCTCCATGAGTCACCACGAGTGAGTAGGCAGCAATATAAATTTAAGAAAATAAATAAGTAAGTAAAATATGGGTTTAATTTTTGTTTTATGGGGAGAGAGTGTAGATAGCTTTGAACAATATAATAGTTATTTATTCTTTTCACTACCTTTGGCCTTCAGTCCGAACCAGTTCCCATGACAGCCATTGCTAGATATTAAAATGGCCCAAATCCATAGCTACAGGACACCTATTTGCATAAAATTTGCCAGCGCTGTTTTATATGGAACTGCAAACAGGGGCCAATTTCAATTGTGAAATAAACTTTGCAATGTTTTTTTGATCTTGGTCTTTACATTAGGGCATCATTGGGAATAATACCATCCTACTTACCAAGGCTATAATACAGACAAAAAATATATGAAGCATAAAATGTGAAAGGTGTTCTGTACATGCTAAATATGATATTGTATATAGACATTAAGGTAAATTGAACAAAATATGCAACCAAAATAAAGATTTGGTTATGGAAGCCATGTGCAAATATAAGCATTAATGGGCCTTAAAGAAACTGGGACTCTTGGCTTGTTTTTACTTTCCTGTAGGCTTCTGTAGAAATGTACGTTTACCTGTTACAATTACTCCATCTGTTCTGACCTAGGCTTCCCAAGAGCATGATAAAAACCACTTTTAATAATTTACTGTGAATTCTGCTCATTCACATCCAGCAAAGTCTTTCAAGGGAGGATTTACAGTCACAGACCTTATCTGGCTTATCTGAGAGCTGACAGGCCAATATCTGCAAAACTTGGCAAGGAGTCTCAGAGAATCACGAACCAATTAAATGAACTAATTGTCTTCTGCAAACTCCATTCCCCTTTCACTCCTCTTTTATTTCTTCTGGGAAGGGTCATTCATCGTCCACCTGTGGCCTTACTCCCAAGTCAACCCCTGTTCTTTAGCTGTTCTATTTGTGTGGCAACTCTGCCCGTGCGCACATTGAGAACAGGGTCCAGCTGTTTGTCTGACTCTGAAGGCAGCTGATAACTGGCATATGGCTTTGACCCCCTCTCTGCCTCCGACATAGAGCCCTCATCAGAGCCTTCCCCAGATGTCAGAATCCTGACATCTCTAAATCTTGCCTTTCTTGGAGAATATATAAAATATTTCCCCTTGATCGGGAACAAAATATGCAAGCGTACATGCCTAAATGTACACTTGCAGCAGTGGTTGGTGGCAGGGGGTATACCCTGGTACGGGTGTACCGGATCCTGCCCGGAGCAACAGGTACCGTTCCAGGACGGTGCTCCAGAGGGCCCACCTGCTTGCCCGTGCTCTTTACCTCTGCTTTAAGCTTTTGGCGCTTCCGCGCACGCACATGGCACATACAGCGCCTGCGTGATTCTCCGCTGAGCAGCTGGAGCATTGCGGAGGCTTGCGGAAGCATCGCAGGCAAGTATGCCGCATGTGCATGCTGCACATATGTGTGCACGCACTGTGCACATCCACATGTGTGATGCCGGAATCCGGCGTGACCCGACAAAAGCGCGAACGTCATAAGCGCGCCGACAAAACCGCGGCACTAGAACCGCGATGTCAAAAGTGCGCCGACAACAGCGCGCCGACAGAAGCGCGATTTAAGTTAAAGTAAGGTTTAGGGTTAGGTTTAGGGTTAGGGTTAGGGTTAGGGTTAGGGTTAGGGTTAGGGTTAGGTTTAGGGTTAGGTTTAGGGTTAGGGTTAGGGTTAGGTTTAGGGTTAGGTTTAGGGTTAGGTTTAGGGTTAGGGTTAGGTTTAGGGTTAGGGTTAGGTTTAGGGTTAGGTTTAGGGTTAGGTTACAGCGCGCTTCAGGGCTCATTCGTCGCTCATTCGTCGTGCGGTTTTGTCGGCGCGCTTTTGTCACCGCGGTTTAGTCAGGCGCGCTTTTGTTGTTCGCGCATTTGTGGTGGAACCAGAATCCGGAACCCACCACTGACTTGAAGTCATTACATTTGTTTACCTTTTCACAAATAGAAAATAATTTGGGGCATTAAGCCTCCTCTCCCCTCTTTCAAGAGACTCATCTTTCTATAGATGGTCCATAGGTCCATAGAACCTCATTGGATGTGTCCAGGCAGCATGTATGGATGCTTATGTGTCAAGAGAAGGAGATCAGCTAGTAAACACCATTTTAAGGATCCCCACCTATATGCCAATTAAACTTAGAAAAATGTTAATTTTCCTAAGCTTTTGCCTTTTGGCAAAGGAATGTGATAATCTTCAGAGGAATAACAAACTAGAGCATTAGTTGGTTTCCCTTATTCCCAATGAAACCTCCCTCCCCCAAGTGGTAAGATATTTGCACCAATGTTAAATCTGAACTCTCATTGTAAGTCAGATCTGGGTAAGGAGGTGGTCTAGGATTGCAGCGGGGAGATGGAAAAGGTGTAACTACCCTTTCCTCCTTATAAGCATAACATAGAAATCCAGATCCTGCATGGCAATGAAGCTTGGGGAGGTAAAAACAAAATATTTTCCATTGTTAATTGGAAGAGCAAAAGAATTAGAAATGGAAAAGATCTTTCCATTTGGTTTCCAGAACATTTATCCAGGCTTACGTTCAGAATTCTGTTTCTTGAAATTCTTACTGGATTAGTTTTATAGACCAAGAAGACATAAATAGAAGCTTAACATTTCCATGATTGGGAATGTTTAGAAGAAGTAAAAAACATGGAGAGAAAATCCTGGGGAAATAAGAAAGGAAGACTTCTTAACTTTTTCTTTTTGTTCTTTCTCTTTTCAGAAGTAGATTGGCTGACTTTTAAGTAGAAGAGAGTAGGTTCGATGCATCTATGTGCTCTAACTAGAGGAAGAGCATTTATTATTCTAATATTTTCACAAACAGTGTGCTGATAGGATGGTAAAATAGCTTTTATTTTTGAAAGGAATTATAGCTTAACACTGCTAATAAATAACAGCCTAATAAAAGGAGTAATAAAGAGTAATTTTAGTGCCACTTTGAAATGTAAATGGCATACAGTAACTAGTTGACTTCTTATAAGCTTGAAGTCCAAAGCAGTTATTCCTGGGTTGCAGGTATCTAAAAGAGAGAGGAAAAACTAGGTTGCTTCAACTTTAAAATTCTGTTAATAAAGCTATGCATGAATTTTTGGGAGAAAAAGAAATATGGAAGTTTCCTCCTTGGCTTTACAGTAATCAGGCTCTTCGGCAGTCCTCACTCTTCCTGCATTTTATTCAAGAGGCTCTAATTGTCTGTATTTGGCAGGTTTAACACTTCCTGACAGAGAGGCTATTAAGGGGAAGTATTCTCACATAACTGTCACAGGCAGGAACAAAGAACCTTCAGACTCAATGTGTGGAAATCACTAACATTCTTAAATGACCCTTTTCATGCATTTTTAAAAGTCCCTCTAAGCTAGAACTTGGTGCCTGCCGGGGCTGCAGCGAAAACAACAAGGTGTAACAGTAAACCTTGATTTTATTCTTTCCTGCTTTTTGGGATGGATTTCTGTTTGGTTTAAAAGCAGTTTTTGTTTGTAAAATCTCATTAATAGATGTGCCTATTTGAATTAAATACACATACACATACAGAGATACCCGCACATTTAAAGCTGATACTAGTTTAAGGGCTGCTTTGAACTTAACAGGCACTATTTGCAGAGAAGAATAGTTAATGAAAGGAAATTAAATTTTCCAACTACTTCCTGTATCAGCTTCCTTAATCTTCCTCACACTCTTAGTAGGTACTAAAAAGATTTTGTTTTAATGACTGGTTAACAAGAATCTGCCACCTCCTTTTTCTTTGAGGCAAGGAGAATTCTTGTTCAATTAAACCCAATGTTTTAAAATATCAGGTTTCATTTTAATGTTCAAAAGTCAGTCCCTACGGATTAAGTCATATAGATTAGCTGGAGTGTTCTGAATATACTATATACTAATCCAGCAGCAGTTTTAAAAACAACAGTGCATGGAACAAAGAATTGAGAGCTCACCAATTTGCTTTGAGTTTTAGAAAGGCAGGCCTAACCAAGAATAAATCTTCTCACACTTATTCTATTTTTATTTCTTTGCAGTAGGAGAAATAGTTTTGGTTGCTATTTTTGAACAGTTGAGTGTCAGAAATTTGCACTGATGTGGTCAGAGGAGATCTTGTAGATTTGTTCAAGATTGTAGTTCAAGATTTGTTTGAACTGCTGGGGATTGGGATCTTCTATAGAAAAATAAAGCAATAATGCCCTTTTAACCATTATTTGAACTATGTTTTGTTACTTTCTCCACGTGTGTATCATAATTCTAAAATAAAAATAAGTAGAGGTAACAGTTTGTATTCTGTTGTTAAAATGCCAATTGCTATTAATGTTTGTGAGTTGAAGTTTCATTTAAGATTAGGATTACTTTTTGAATTATTAACCTCCACCCTGACTCCCTCCCTTCACCCAATTTATGCAACGTTATATTTGAAGTTTTTCTGTAGATCTTCTAAGACTTGTGTTGATGCTGAAGCTTAGCCAAACAATAGAGAATCAACTCCCCCTGCTGACTATATCTAGGCCAACATGATACACCGGTACCTTAGAAGACAGGAAAAAACTAAAAAAGCAAACAAAAAGGGTATTAGCTGGCTGCTGACAAATCCTAATGTTCTAATCTTTGCTTCTTACTAAAACCTTCAAAATTCAATAATTTGGGCAACTTGAGTAATCCTTCTGTAGTCCTGTTGCTTTTTGTTTTGTGTTTCACTAAGTGATTCTTCATTGCTTAAGGGCTGTGTAATGCAAGTGACAAGGTAAAATTTACATTTCACTGGAATTATTTTTATATTTCTCTGAATGATGTGGGTCAGAAGGTTGTAAAATCAAACGTTAAATATACTGAAAAAGGCAGTGTAATATATCATTGCCCTAGAGACATTGATGGGATTAATGGTGGGTCCAATTTCCTGCTTTTACAGGATGCAGATGAAGCTGTCCGAATTGCAAGGGAAATTGGTAAGTTAGGGTATCTTTACATGGGGACTGCAAGAGATGCGCATGCTTTTCAGAAGATGTTCTTGACTAAATTATCTATTTAATCAGGAATCTCTGTGGAACACATGATTTTGGTTTTCAAATTCTCTATTGCTATAAGAACTGGAAGATGTTCTTTGCACAATTCTATATTTATATCTACATGAATAGCATTTTAGCAATTTATGTTGCCAACAGGATGACATAGCCCTAATCTGTTTAAAAATCGGGTATTTCATGAGTTTGCTTAAATTTTGTTGTAAATAAGCTGCTAGGACATGACCAGAGTTGATTCTTAGAGAGCTGATATAATTGTGCTTATTCTAATTTTTCCCCATGTGTTGATTTGTGATCCAATATACTGTAGGCTTTGGTGAGCTACAAATAAGGATATAATTTATGTTCATTCTACCTCCAAATTTGACTTTTTAAAATAATAGAACCTTCTTGTTTTACAAAACAATTTTTCATTGAAATTGAGTGGTTTAAAAATGTTTTGATACTTGGAATGGGTGTCAGCTGACTCCTTTGAAGTCAGTTATTGAATCAGGAGAACCTAAACTATTTCTCTGGATCATTGTCTATATTTTGACAACTTCATTCTTCATATATCATATATATATTTAGTTTGAAATTTTGAAATGGCTGAAGTGTAAGAAGTAACCATTCCTCCAAACTGTGGTTGACTTCTGGTGACAGCATTCATGCAACTTTGCTGGCGGTATTCTATCTTGATCTGGATGTGCAAGTACTAACCAGAGTTCATCCTGCTTAGGTTTTGAAATAAGACAAAGTTGACTAGATGCTACCACCTGTTAAGGTGGCATGGAGATTATAAATCCAATTAAATTTAAACTTATATTTGATCTTGGCCTATATTATGTGATATGTCTTAGAGAGACTAAAATTTATTCAGAAATCTTTGGCCAGTTGTTATTTCTTAGTCAAACCTATACGAAAAGGGAGAACATGAAAATTATGTACAAAAGAGAGATCCAATCTAGATATAAGGAGAATTTTGTGACAGTGAGAAGAATTAATCAGTAGAATGGCTTACCTTCAGAAGTTGTGGGTGCTCGATCATTGGATAATCATTTGTTTGAAATGGTATAAGTTCCCCTGCTTGAGCAGGAGGTTGGATTAGAAGACCTCCAAGGTCTCTTCCAGCAATTCTGATTCTGATTCTGTCCCTATCCCTATCCCTTTTCCCCTTCCCCAAACTAAGAAATGCAGAACTTAAGAAGTCTTATGGTTGTTATGAAACATAAGACATAGTTGACTAACTTTGTGACCTTGCACATGAGGAATGTTTTAATGAGAAATTTTCTTCTAAAACAAAGCTAAATTTCTAGGTACAAAAAGCAGTTTTGGGGAAAATGGAAATAGGCGAACAGGGAAGACTACAATCACAATTGTGTACAGAATTTCAAATAAAATCAATATTATTATTATCACCTTGAATAAGCTGGACCTTTTGCTTTGATATTTTTAGGCAGGTTCTCTTTCTCCTTCTGTTTCTCTGAGGTTTTTTCCCCCCAGTTTTCCAAAATACAGAGCATAAATGAAAGGCAGACTCCGTGGGGAGATTAATTGACTCTTTGTCCAATGAAGGATAGTGGTCCATCTCTAGGTCTATTCAGCATATCAAATTATTTAGAGCAGCGTTCCCCAACTTTTCTGGCTTTGCACACCGGCAAGGGGCAGGGGAGGCAGGATGGTTCCGCAGAAATGGTGGGTGAGCGTGTGCATACAGCTCCATTTGCACAATGGAGCTGCACATGCGCTCACCCGCTGCTTCCACAGCCCAGTTGAGTATGAGTATGAGTAGTTTATTTATTTAGTTCTGATTGGGATGCAGCTCTGTACTAGGCTATGGCCCGGCAGTTGGGGATTTGGGGATCCTTGATTTAGAGATTGTCCACCTTCCTAATGTCCCTTTTCAGAATAGGAAATGTACAGGCTTCTTTTTGCCAGTTTTATTTAAATGAGTTATTAATTTGAGGTGGAGTGGGGGATGTTAGTATAATATTGCCAATGATAAGAGTTTAATGTGAGTTGTATTGATAAGTAAACGGACTGAGTAAAGAAGTAACACCAAAGTTTGGTGCTTTTTCATTTATTTCATAAAAATAACGATCCAGCATGAAGTGTGCACCTGCAAAAAAGTGATTCATCTCTAGTCAATTCAATTTTCTACCCAATACACATATGACAAATTTTGAAGTTTTCCATTCAAAGATTGTAGAGAATGCACCATATCCCACTCTGATAGGTATTCATTGAGTCTAAATTGATTAATACAATCTGGAGAGATTTCTTACATTTCTAGGGCTCCATTGAGACATGTTTCCCAGTCTTGGTAGGGAGAAAGTACTGCATGAAATTGTCCACGAAGTCAGAAATAACCTCAGTATAATTTGGAATGTCCAAGTTAAATTCTAGATCTAAACCTCATAAAAATAAACAATTCATGCTAAAAATACTCAGATAATGCAGAAACAATTTACTATGTAGGAGTGGCAAAAAATTATATACAACAATGTTTATGTAAGAATCATTTTTTGACATGAAAATTCAGTTGACATAGAGCAAGATGAAAATGTTAAGCTTAATAATCAAATCAGATAAAATCTGTATTCAAAATTATGTACTGCTGTCAAATTTTAAACTGACTAACTTTGTGCCAACAATTTAATTAATTGGAAATAAAATTAGCAAAAAAAAAAAAAAGAGAGCATTTCTTAACTCTTCATCTAATGATATTTAAGCAATGATAATCAATACAGGTAAAAATAAAAGAACCCTGGGAGTTTCCATCACTCTCATAATATATATTGGTTATAATCTTATCATGTTGTTTCATACAGCCAATTATGTTTGGTTTGGTTTGGTTTATTGGATTTATATGCCGCCCTTCTCCCAAGGACTCAGGGTGGCGTACAACATTAAAAAAACATAAAAAAACTTTAATACATAATATTCCTTGTGAGGTGAAGTGCTTGCCATCTCCTTTTCTTTCAATTCCTTTTTAAGAACGCACATTCAGAAAAATTATATTTAATAAAATAAGATCAGATGGTATCAAAACTTAAAAGTCATTGTGGTAGCCATCACCTACATAAGTAAAGAGAAGAGAGTATGTTAGTTGAATGAAATACAAGACAGGTAGTCCTTAACTTATGACACAATTTGGAGCAGAGTTTTCATTGCTAAGCAAAGTGATTGTTAAGTAAGTCACACCTGATTTTATGACCTTTTCTGCCACAGTTGTTAAATGTATCACTACAGTTGTTAATTGAGTCACATGATCATTAAGCGAATCTGGCTTCCCCCATTGACTGTCGTTGTTGGAAGCTGGCTGGGAGGGGTAGAAATGGTGACCATGTGATTTCAGGGTTCTTCAACCATTGTAAAAAGAAGGCGGCTGCCAAGTGCCTGAATTTTGATCATGCTACCATGGGGATTCTGTGATGGTCATGAGATTGAGTGCCAGTTATAAGTCTTTTTTTTTGGCACCATTGCAACTTTGAATAGTTGTTAAATGAATGGTTGTGACTTGAGGACTCCATATACACCAAGTTTACTTTACAACTGAAGACTTCTTTATTGATATATTATCCAAATATTGGTTGTTTTTCACAATTTTGTTTAAAATGTAAAAACCTTCAGAATGGTCTGACTGCTTCATATTTAACATCTGGTGCTTTGATTGGACTAATGAAATGATGCCATTAATTTAACACACTGTTTTTTTTCTGTAGGTCTTCATATCATGTTAAGTTGAAATTCCAATTTCTTTTTAAAAAAATGCTTTTGCTTGTTTGAGGATTTTTGATGAAAAAACAGGGCTTTAGATATTTATTAAAATGCTGTGTTTTATTGGTTGTTGGCTAATTCAATCTGATAAACTTAAATTCAGGCGATTGCTGTCATTAAAACAACACTACTGTACAGATAACTCAGTTTAAATTCCTCTTCCCAGCAGAAAGCTTTTTAATAAGCTTGTTATTGACCTTGTCATTGAACATGTGGTCAGTTGTCATAAATGTATGATCAAAATTTAAATTTCTGTCTTAATTGTTCCCTGCTGCTAGGCTACCCTGTGATGATCAAGGCTTCGGCAGGTGGTGGTGGAAAAGGCATGAGAGTTGCATGGAATGATGAAGAAGCCAGGTGAAGTGCTGTCCAGAAATCAGTTTTGATGACTACATCTGTTTTCAATGCAACTATGCCATTCTTTCTTTTTAAAGCTCTCATAAACTATGATAAACTAGCAGTTAAGCAGCAAATGAACAAGTTTTTGCTCTTATTCCCTAGGCAGTCTGTTTCAGGTAGTTCTCAATTGATGATCATTCATTTAATGATTCTTCAAAATTATGCCAATGCTGAAAAAAGTTGCTTATGACCAGTCACTAATATCATGTGATCAAAATTTGGGTACATGGCAGTTGGCCACGTACATACAACTGTTGCAGCATTGTGGAGTCACGTGATTACAATGTATGATATTCTCAGGGGGTTTTCAGCAAGTAAAGTAAATGGAGAAAGTCTGATTCACTTAATAGCCACATGACTTGATTAATAACTGCAGCAAAAAAGCTCATAAACTTGGGTGCAACCCATTTAACAAGCCCCATCATTTAGCGATGTAAGACCATTTGTGGTCTATGGTGCTTCATTCTAAGGAGGATGAATTAGGAGTTCCATTTTCCCAATCAGTATGACAGTGGGCAAGCTGTTCCTGTAGAACAGCTAACGTGCTAACATGGGGGAAAATACCCTGGTTTACCTTAACACTTTCCTTATACAGGACTTTTGTATATATATGCCTATATATATATATTTTCTGTCCGTATGATTCAACTATCATTCCATAATTTTATTCATACATTAGATACATTAATCCCATATTTTCCAGAAGCTTGGGAGCCTGAAGTAAGATGGCACAGCTTTTTAATGGCAGGACTGATGCCACAGAACAGCTCTTTGATTGAAATCAGGCTAGCTGCCTCATTGATTTTTGGGGGGAAATTTGAAAATGTAATGGTTGAATAAAGCTTTCCCCTGACTGTATACAGTATTTAATGCCATCCATTTTTTGTTTTATTTTTACTCTTTTTTGGGGGACAGTTTTTGTTGTTAATATTTGTTGTGCTCCTACCTTTATTTTAAATGTATTTCTGGTAAATTATTTCTATTTATAGTCTATGTAAGCTGTTGAGAGTCATTTTTGATTGCAGTGTGATAGAAAGGTGTTGAATATGTAAATAAACAAATCCTATAATGACATTAGCTGATTAATTGTTTACAATATTTGCTTTATTCACCAACACAATCCAATTAATTCTGCCAATAGAATATAATTGTTGACTTTCAAATATTTTCAGTGACTAAAACAGGATTTCACTTTTGGAGAGATGAGTTGATGGGGCTGGTATAGTGGAGAAATTCAATTTCTTTTACTACCGGTTCTGTGGGCATGGCTTGATAGGCATGGCGTGGCTTCATGGGCGTGGTGGGGGAGGATACTGCAAAATCTTCATTTCCACCCCACTCTGGGGCCAGCCAGAGATGGCATTTTCCGGTTCTTTGAACGACTCAAAATTTCTGCTACCGGTTCTCCGAACTTCTCAAAATTTTCGCTACCGGTTCTCCAGAACCTGTCAGAACCTGCTGGATTTCACCCCTGGGCTGGTAGGAAGTATGTGTTTGTATGTTGGAAGGACCCACAAATAGCTTCCTCACAACTTCATATCAGTTTGCATGTCAACTGAGAAGGGTGTTTAACCATGTTCTTTTTCAGAATCTTAGCAAGCCTGGTTGCTATTTTCACCAATCTTCAATATCTTCAGTAATATTATTGCAAAGGTTTTTGGCTTTATCATCTTAATGATTGCTGATTACCTGAAATTAATAATAACAAGAAAACAGTTATTTTGCCAACATCAGGATTCTTCATCCAGAATATCCAATCAGTATTGTGTACATAACAACTTTATTCGTACCCACAAGCACACATAGTTAAATTAAGGCATCCGAAACAGAAAAGGGATTGTTCATCAACAGATTTTTGCAGTTGAAAAGAGTTGAACATGGAGATGGTTCACCAGATGATGGCCCTAATGGTTTTGATTGGAGTTTTAATTTTATTTTATAGTTTAGAAATGTAATTTATGAAGTTATCTTTAATTCGCTAGAAAAAATGCACATTAAAAACTTTAAAAAATGTAAATTATGGCTAACAGGCCACTTATTAGACATTTATGTTGATCTAAAAGATTTTTCATTTATACACATATTAGATATGAATGTTTCCCTAAGGTGTAGAAATCCCCAAGCAACATAGTCATTGTTTATTTCTGTTTTATTATCAAATAGCTTTTTTGCTGGGTTTATAATGGTTTTTGCATTTGTATAGTTTCCTTTGTGGATCATATAGCATGGGAGAGGAGAGCAGGTTAGCATAGTATGAACAAAAAAAGGGACATCTTGGAATGTATATTTTATATGCCCTATAAATTTAATAACAATTCTTCACTTCCACATGTGCATGGATATACAGATGAAACTCAAAAAATTAGAATATCGTGCAAAAGTTCATTTATTTTAGTAATGCAACTTAAAAGGTGAAACTAA